CCCGTTTCTCCTCCCCCCCTTTCCCATGTCTCCTCTGCCCCTCTCCCATGTCTCCTCTGCCCCTCTCCCATGTTTCCTCTGCATCTAGAGGCTGTAAGTCATACCCAGCCTGCTATTGGATATCTTAAAATGCAATAGCAGACTGGCTATTGCACCTGTCTGCTGTCAATCAGCAGAGGAGGACCTGATGGAGAACATTCGCCTTCAGGTCCCTCCTCTGCTGATTGACAGCAGGCAGTGGGTGGGTGCAATAGCCAGTCTGCTATTGGCTTTTGCAATTTGAAATATCCAATAGCAGGCTGGCTATTGCTCCCAACAATAAAGTAAAATATAAAAAATAGAGTGAAATAAACTAACAGTAAAAAGACAAATCAAAAAAGTTAAATAAATAAAATTTAAAAATGCAAACAAATAAAAAAATAAGTTAAACTATAATTAAAAATAGGAAAACATTTTTTTTGGTGTGTTTAAATAAAAGAATGGTTATTTTACTATATTGGCTTAGAGTTTTACAATTCACATTATTTTAAATCCATGAAACTAATTAAAATGTCTACTATACATACAATTTATATATGGTGGGGAAAGTAATTTTCAGTTTCGGACTGACAAATTTTGCTGCAGGAGGTGTGTTGCGCTGCCATTCATTTTAATGGATCCCAAATGCACTTCCTGTCCGCAGTGTGATCGCACAAACTGAAACTTGCGGTACTGCAATGCCCTGCATTCCAGGGCAGTGCAATTTCAAAAAAATGTGCCTACAGTTTTAGGCCTTATGCACGCACTATATGGACTTTGCAATCCTGGAATGCATCATTCGTGATAGAGATTTTAATGAACTGTACACACGCAAGATATGCTGAAATATGCTGCCCGGACGCATCTTTACGCTATGCAAATATATGGCTCCATATTTGCATATGGGACAATACACGTGTATGCGCATATACGCAGCATATTGTATGGCAGTGTGAATGAGGCCTTATTCTGAAGTAAACTTTGTCTGTAACGCTGAATCTGTGCATTTTACTTTAAACAACGGTAGTATTTTTTTATTCGATCTAATCGATCAATTAATTGAAGTTAATAATCAGCTAACTCATTGATTCTAAAAATAATAGTTGCAGCCCTAATTAATTTGCAATGTGCCACTGCACTTGCTAGAAAATATAACTACTCCTAGAAGTCAATTTCCTAGCACAGCCCCCTCTCTACTTACACATCATTAGGTGCAGCTTGCTGCCCCTCTCCTTCACCTACTTATATTATCTTTTATGTAGGTGCAGGGTAAAGGCAATGGTTGAATACTACAGGGCAGGGGTAGGCAAACTCCAGCCCTCTAGCTGTGGTGAAACTAGAAATCCCATCATGCCTCTGGATGTTGCATCTTTGGCTGTCAGTTATGCAATGCCTAATGGGATTTATAGTTGCATCACAGCTAGAAGGCAGGAATTTGCCTACCTACATTTTAAAAATATGTTTCTTGAAAACTCTCTGAGGTCCTTCTTTTAAGTTGAGCAGTGCAGAGATATCTGGCCGCTGAGAAGAGAATTCAGGCGCCAATGTCACATTCTTTGTATTTATATAACCTGCTGACCTATTCAGGCAGGCATGGGCGGATAGACCCAGAGTCTTCTGTTTGTCAATTAACTTTGCGATCACTGATGGGTGGGATAGACCTGAAGTCTGTTCAGCCCAAGTACTCCCACTGCAGGAAGCGGCAGCATAATTATTATGTCGCTTATAGACAAAAACTTAAGAGGGGCACTTACACGACTGGCAGACATAGTGGCAACTAATAGTACTAAAAGTAATTAAGGAGTCTGAGCCCTAATTCTGAAACATTCAACTTGAGATTACTCAGTGGGTGGCTTACTGTGTACAAAACAACATGAAATTGCACCAAATTTAAAACCAAAAACCTATTAAAAAATAACAACATTTCTGCCTAGAATCCATGTATAAGTTGTTTGCTTCATCAGGCCTGAAGCTCTACCTGCTTACTTCTGCTTTTACTGTGTACAAAACTAATCGCCCTGCACAATATAGTGATTTATAACAGCAAAATAGATTTTAATTTCACTTGAATGTGGCACTGAATGTTTGACCAGTATGGAAATTGAATTGTTTGATTCAGTATTATGTGTTCAAGCTGTATAATTTATTAAATTTTTTTTTCTTCTGGTGATGTTAAACTGTACTATGCTGCCTTGTACCCTCAGCATTCTTGACAACCGTGCTATGGCTCTCCCACAGAGTGCCACGTTGGATCTCCAGCGGTCTGACACGCCCCCTTGTCAGTACTTAAATCAACTGTGTTCATGCATTTGATCAGTTGGTCAAGGGGTGTGTTGGCCATCTGGGGATCCAGACTGCTGCAATCTTTGAGGAAGCAGTGGCTTTCCTGTGTGCTGCCAGAATAGGGCAGCTTAGTACACCTAAACACCACCAATAGGGGCATATTTAAAAAGCAGTACATATGACATTCAACACTGCAGGTGAATATTCCATGTGCATGTGTTTTATATTAGTGATTGATACCTCTAGTGAATTTCAAATCCACTGCTTTATGAATGTGCTTTAGCGTAAAAAACAAACAAAACAGTTCTATACATTTTGAATATGATATTAAGGGTACCTTTTCAGCTTTACAGTCTTTTTTTCTTTTTTAAGGTACTGGGTTGGATCCGTAATGGAGAATCTATGCTAAATGCTGGTCTCATTACTGCCAGCTCACTGCAGGAAGCTGAACAACTTCAAAGGGAACATGAACAATTCCAGCATGCAATAGAAGTAAGCATAGTTGAATGTTCTCATAACCAAAATGGTGCTTGATTTGTATATCCCTAATTTCACTGCTTATATGTTTAATTTATCAATTAATTATTTGGATGCTTCAGTTTGACGTTTTTATAAGTAAAAGTGACTGAAGCCGGCTGCTACTGCTATGCTGTCTCCTTAGAGAACTCGATTCTCTTGAAATCCTTTGTCATGCATTACATTTTTTTTTTTTTGTAAATATAGTTTTTATGCATACATTTAAAAAGAAAATATATAAAACTTTTGTAGAAAAACTTGGAATTGCAGCAGGCAAATATCTTCTTCCACAGGGTTTTTTAAATAATATTTTCCATAGGTACACCACAGTTTTATTAAAGTTCTATTCATCTATTTCTGGAGTTAAGCACCTTCATGGCTGGGACTCCAGACAAATCATTGAAACATATAGGAACTGTCAACACATTTGTCCAGTTCTGGCATTTAACAGCCTTACTGGAGACCTTAGCCAGCCTGCTGACCCAACATGTCTCTGCTGCATTTAAACTAAATGTAAGGAGAAAAGAGTTAAATTTAGTTTTCTCCTTGTAGCTGAAATCACAAGAGCAGGCTAGGGTTACTATGCTGTTCTCTCACAGAGAGTACAGTGAGTCAGTGTTGGCAGCCGAGAATAGGAAGTCTGTTACTGGCAGGATTAGCAGGTGAAAATGTAGGAAACAATACAAACTAATACAGTCACTGCATGTAATTATGGACAGGTACTATTAAATTTATTTTCTTTTTAAATTTGCTTTACACATCACTGCTAAGTAACCTTCCTGTCCAGCCTTTTAAATGTACAGTGATGGTGCTGAAAAAAGCCTTGCAGGGCATCTCTCTGTTTTCTCCTCCTGTCAGTATTATTATACAGGATTTATATAGCGCCAACAGTTTGTGCGGCACTTTACAATATAAGGAAGACATTACAATTGAAGACAAGATGGTAAGGAGGACCCTGCCCATGAGGGCTTACAATCTAAAAGGGAGGGGCCAGTGAGACATGAGGAGGTAGCTGTGTGGGGATGCATTGTTTGAGAATGTGATCGTATGTTCCTTGTCAGCACATTGGATTACAAAACACGTGACTGGCAAAAGTTGCCCCTCCTTCTCTTAGTGCTACTGTACTCTGGATTACAAGTGGGTGAAATTCAGGTATTTATAATAGTTGTATTTTAAATATATTTAATGATTATCTACTTATGCATGCAGACTATTTTTTACAACCACACAACCATAAATCTCCCTCCCCAATGTAATGCTCAGTTTACAAAACTACAGTAAATTATATAGTTTCAGAACAAAGCTGTAGATATATGAAGCTCTAAACATCACAGTCAAGTAGAGTGTCTCTCTAAGGCCCTAGTCACACTTTTGCACTCCATTTTTACCGCCGTTGCTGCAGGTCAGTCCATTAATTTCAATGGGTTGCTGCACGCGGGACAGACGTAGCAATGAAGTGCAGGCAGCATTTTCAGCTCTCAGCTTCCCACTTTTGACACACGTCCAAGCACGGGCAAAAATACATTTGGGGTGCCATTAACAAGTAATAGCCCTGCAAGCGTATCGTACACTTTTGCGCACCACAACGGCAACTTGCCCTTTCGCAAATAAGCTGTTCAACCCCATAGACATTCTCATTGACATATGTATAGGTCATTTGCAGTCACTATCCGGTATCTAAATATAAACTTTTGACAAAGTGGTTTAGGGTCTCCAAGGTCCTAAATATTTTTTCTCTATCACCAAACTGTAAGCAATGTGATAAAGAAGTGACATCTCTTTTAATATATTCTGGACATGTGGATAAAAAAATGTTCCATGCACCAAGTTGTAAGACCAAGAGAAAAAAAAAAATGGAGCAAGTACGTTTTATTTCTACTTAAAACACAGGATTCACTGGCCACAAATCCCAGTATATGGTATAGCTCAGGGGTCCTCAAACTTTTTAAACATGGGGCCAGTTCACTGTCCCTCAGACATTGCTGGGGGCCGGATCATAGTTTGAAAACGGGGGGCGTGACTGTGGTGCCGCACCGCCACGCCCCCTCCCGTACCAGAACAAACATTTCTTTTACATAGTTAGGAAACATTTATTATCACCCATTTTTTTGGTAAAATATAAAAGACGGGGTCACGTCGGGTAAATAGACACCAAACATGTCAAGCTTACAAATTGCGCGCTCTAGCAAAATCGCAAAAAGACACCACAGCCAAAATTGGCCATAGGCGACGCTTTAAAAGCTTTTACCGCTCATCAGTTTAGTGTTATCAGTGATTGATGACCCTAAAATTATTGCTCTCACTGCGACGTTCACGGCGATATGTAACATGTGCGGCGTAATGGGCGCAATCGTCGTTTACGATATGCGTGTATGTATGGGGGGACTTTAAAAAGAAATATTTGTTTTTTTTAATTCTTTTTTGTGTGTATCTTTAAAACATTTTTTGGGAAACTTTAAAATTTTTTCCACCTAACTTTATTGCTATCACATAGGGGGCTAAGAAACCCCTCCTATGTGATAGCAAAAGATGTCACAGGTCCTCTTTATGGAGACATCAGGGGTCTCCAAGACCCTTAATGTCACCTAGGACCCCCAAAGAAGCACAGATCTGCTTCATCAGCTTCTCTCCAGCGTCTAAAGCTGGAGAGTGACACAAGAATGCGGAAGTGATGTAGTATACATCACTTCCGCATTCTTATAGCGGAGAGGGGACCGGAGGGAGATCGTGTACCAACCTCCCTCTGATCCCCTGTCAGTGTGGCACTGTGCTGGTCCCGGGCTCGCACCGGAGCCCCGGGATCAGCGTGACAACGGGAGGAGGACACACGGGCCGACCGGCCATACAAGCGATCCGCCGGCTCTATAGCCGGCGGATTGCTTGTATGTTAACAGGCATCGCTGCCTGTTTTTAAATTGGCTGTATTTCCCGCTCGCACGGCGCGCTAGTGGGCGCGGCTGATCTAGGGAGCTTGGCCCGGCCAAACTGGCCGGGCCAAGGACCCTGGCGGGCCTTAGTTTGAGGACCCCTGGTATAGCTGGTACATCTTAACCACTTGCTGTCCAGAGCAATTTCTTAATATTTGCACACACATGATAAAATCAGAATTTATGGCTAGAAAACAGCTTGGAACCCCTAACCAATTCTTTATTTTCTGAAAGCAGAGGCAATGTAGAAAAAAAATGCTAGCTGCAGTTTTTGATGTTGCACAGTATTTGCACAAATGTCTATCAAACCAGTATTTTTAGGCTATAATACCCTAAAATGAAATTTAGTGCACAGAAATAGAAAATAATACCCATTTTTTGGGTAAAATATAAAAGATGGGGTCACGTCGGGTAAACAGATAGAAAACATGTCAAGCCTTAAAATTGCATTCACCTGTGAAACCGCAAAAAAAAAAACCACGATAATACCCATAATTTCCCATAGGTGACACTTTAAAAGCTTTTACTGCTCATCAGTTTAGTGTTAACAGTAATTGATGACCCTAGAATTATTGCTCTCATTCTGATGTTTGCGACACTATGTAACCGTTTTTTTTTGCGTGTAGACACACCCGATGCATGTTTGTGCGTGAATGTGGGGGCAATTTTTTTTTTTTACCTATGTCAGCGCAGTGAATAGCTGTGTGTGGGTGCATGCACAGTAGAGGGGCGGGAGAGAAAACACAGTGAAGCTCAATGGACGCGGCCAGCAGCAAGGAGCGAGCATGTCGGATAGACACCATGGGACACGAGGAGTCCGCGGTAGATCAGAGACCGGCACCAGCACTGGAGGGACTGTGAGAAACTAGTGGAAGGAAGAAGATGATCACAGCAAGAGGCATCAACTAAGGTAAGTGCTTACAGCACTGTAAGGGAGGGTTGCCTTTAATGGGAGGGGGGAGGGTTGCCTTTAATGTCACTTTAAAGGATCTGCTACTAATGACTTGGTGCCAGACACTAGAGCATACCTTCAAAGGTCTAGTGGAGTCCATTATTCGATGGGTCAGTGCTGTCTTGGCAAAATAGGGACCTCCTCAATATTAGGTGTGTGGTCATAATGTATGGCTGATTGGTGTATTTGTAAATACTTGCATCCAAGGCATGATGCAAGACTGGAATATTTGGAGAACTAGCTTTCAAAAGGTGGAGGGGAATAATCCTCTACCAGGTAACATTCCATGACCATTTTTTGTTTGGATTTCTTATTTATAAGAAGAAAGACATTGTGCTTGCTAAGACCAGAACCCAGAGAACTCTGGAGATGAATGGCAACATAATTTCCCTGCATCCAGATTTCTCAGCTGAAAAGAGCTAAATATTCTGATATTAAACAAATTGTGAGGATCCTTAATCCTCACCATATGCTGTATCCTGCCAAATTAAGAGTAGTGGCCAAAGACGACACACACTACTTCGTCTCCAAAAGGAATGGTTACATGGCTGAATCGTCATAAATGCCACCTTAAACTTTAAGCACGTAAGTGTTTGGGCCTGTGTGGATACACACTGTTATATCTGCTTTAGGGGTAGGGATGAAGGTCGGAGGGAAGAGGTCGGGTGGACATGTAAACGGAGGAGATAACTTTCTAATTGGTCATGGGTAGAGGCACAAGTTTCAGATGGTGATCAAACGTCTATTGAAGGTGGGTGGTAGGTAATGTTGTACCAAGGGAGACCAAATAGTTTCGAATTTCCCCATAGAGTTGTCTAATTGCGCTGATCTCTTTTCATGGGACATGATCCAAGATATATACTGTTTGGTTCTGGAGATGCTAAGAGTAGGGGATTTCCATGATATAGCTATTTCATGTTTGGCCGCTGATGGTACCTGTAGAATAAGTTTCTGTTTGGCTAAAGGGAACCGTAAGGGGACGTTATTAAGAAGAGCTAGGGAAGGTTTTTTTGGTATAGCTTCATTGTTAAGGATTGCGATCATACAGAAAATTCGATCCCAGAATCTGGAGGCTATGGGACAGGACCACCACGTGT